CAGTCTTGCCTGCCTGCCTTTTTCTTGGGACGCATTGCTCCTGGACTTGGAAGAGGCGGTCCCCTTCAGGGCTTCATCCCAGAGTACTGCACTAAGCAGATCCCTGAAGAGGTTGAAGTCTGCTCTCTTGAAGTCCAGGGTAGTGAGCTTGCTGCACAGTCTCCTTGTTGCCCTGAGGATCTTGAATTCTAACATTTCATGGTCACTGCAGCCAAGGCTTCCCTTGAGCTTCACGTTAGCCACCAGCCCCTCCTTGTTGGTGAGAACAAGGTCCAACATGGCTCGTCGGTTCCTCCACCATCTGGAGGAGGAAATTGTTATCAATGTACTCTAGGAACCTCCTGGATTGCTGGTGCTCTGCTGTTGCCTTCCTTCCAACATATGTCTGGGTGATTGAAGTCCCCCATGAGACCAGGGCTTGTGAACGTGAAGCTACTCCTATCTGTCTGTAGAGGGCCTCATCCACTCAGTCATCCTGGTCAGGTGGCCTTAGCAGACCCCCACTATGCTATCACCTTCCTCTGCCTTTCCTCTAACCCTGACCGATAAGCTCTTGGTCACCTCCTCATCCATCCCCAGGCCAAGCTCCGTGGACTCCAGCTGGTCCTTGACAGAAAGGGTGACACCCCCTCCACTTACCCCTGCCTGTCTGTCCTAAAGAGCCTATACCCACTTATTCCTACACTCCAGTCATAGGAGCTATCCCACCACATCTCAATGATGCCTATAACATCACAGCCTTGTAGATGTGCACACGTCTCTGACTCCTGTTGTTTGTCCCCATGCTCCATGTGTTTGCATACAGGCATTTAAGTGGGCCCCCCATTGAAGCTGACTTACCAGCTGGAATGCTTACTGGCTGGAATTCATCATCTTGCACTTTCTCCTTAACCATCTTTCATCCATTTCCGGGGCCAGAGCATATATTTCCAACACTGGCCTTGAAGTGGGATGGATTGAGGATCCCCTCCCCTGGCAAACCTAGTTTAAAACCCTCTTTACGAGATTGGCTAGCCTTTGCCGAAAGATTTTCTCCCCCTTCTCTGAGAGATGTACCCCATCAGCCCCCAGGAGACCAGGTTTCTCAAAGCGAGTCCTGTGGTCCAAGCAGCCAAAGCCCTGGCTGTGGCACCACTCCTTCAGCCATTCATTGATTTTTCTGATTCTGCTGGCCCTTTCAACCCCCTTACCTTAGACTGAGAGGATTGATGAGAAGATTACCTGGGCACCCAAGTCCTTCAATGCCTCTCCTAGGGCTCTCTAATCCCTCTTGATGCTCTTTAGGCTGCTTCTGGCTGAGTCACTGTGCCCACGTGAAACAGCAGCCGTGGATAATAATGCATGGGATGTACCAGGTTTGGTAGTCTCTCTGTGACATCCCTGATACTAGCCCCCGATAAGCAGCAAACCTCTCTAGACAGTGGGTTGGGTTGGCAAACGGACGCATCAGTACCCCTCAAAAGAGGGTCTTCCACTACTATTACCCATCACTTTTTCTTGGTTGCACTTGTAATTGTAATTTCAGGAGCCGATCTACTTGGCTTCCCCAACTCTGAGGCATTTTCTGTTTCAGCGTTTTTACTCTCTTCATTCGGCAGAGCTGTGAAGCAGTTCTGCAGGGGCACCTCAGGCTTTGAGGGAGGCTTCTTCCTTCTCCTGGATCTTACATGCACAAGTTCCCAATCTGCAATATTGTTGGCTGCCCCCTTTTTTGGGGGAAAATACTATTAAACTTGTGTTATTTTTTTATCCTTTGAGAATGCTGAAGGATATTTCCATCTTAATAGTGCTTGGAAGGGGGATTTTCAGAGAGTTGAGGGGGGGTAAAAATGAGTATTGGACATGCAGGTGTACAATTTTCAGAAATTAAATGTGCTAACTAGTGGATCCACTGCCCTCAGAGAGTTATCTGTCATAAGCAGGAGTTAAATGAACAGGCTTAGGGGAAGGAATGGTTTTAGCTTTCAGCTAAATCTTCATGTAAGAGACTGAGTTTTCCATAGCTAGAAGAAGATGGGAGTCATAAATTGTGTAAGCGTTTACAGAAAATTGTGATTTTATTTTTTCCCTCATACTATATTTTGCAGGTATTTTAGGAATAGTCAACCAACTCCCCTTTACCAAGGGGTCTTATAGGGATATACATATTTAAAACTAAGCTAAGCCATCTCCTAGAACAAAGGGACAGTAATGGTTGTTACTGTTGACACTTGATTGCCTAGTCTTTTCTAAAGACCATCCAATGATGGAAATTCTGTAAGTTACCAGGTATTATATTCCGGTACTTAATAATCCTTGGTTTAGAAGCCTAACAATTTTTGAGACTAATTGTCCTACCAGCCACAAAGAAGGTGAAAGTGTTGTTCTATCTAGTTTGTTTACCCCCTTTGCCATCCCATTTCCTTGGTTAAACAGTCTTAGTCTTTTCTTTGAATGTTTTTGTGTTTGCTAAACCTCAGTGCTTTCCTATGGACACTCTCCAACATTTTGAGATTTTCTTGAGCGCATAGCCTGAGATTCACTCTAGTATTTCTATGTAGTACTTGATGTTCGCGTCAGTTGAGTGGCAGGACTGTTTTCATGTTTTGCAGTCAGTATTCCTGTGTAGGTATCTTCATGCTGTGATTGTGCCTTTTTTCATTATAGGATGATGTGTAGATTAAAGTTAATTTGTGATTATGGGGTACCTTCATATATAACTCTTGACTGACCTTTTTGTAGTTATTAAGAAACAACAGTACTTCTGAGGAGGGGCTGAATATAATAAATGTAACAGCAATTTATAAGCCTGCCATAAGGTTACAGTTTATTCTTTTTTGCAGGGTGCTATAGCGCTCAAAACGTTGGGGTATAAAATGCTAATTCTGTACTTAATTTCCTTGTATGACATTGATTTGCTCTGCTGATCTGCTCCACCATTCCATGCCCCCTTCCCACAAGACTGATGTTTTAGTACCCTTATGACTCTTCTTTTCAATTGAATTAAGAAATAAAAGGAAAGTTTTTTTTCTGTCTGAATTGGGAAGGGAGTGAAAACACCTTTTAAATGTCTTGCAAATAACATGGAGCTAATATTTGTATTTGTAATACTTTAGATATGCCATCTCAGAAGCACATCTGAAATTTGGTCTAAGAAATGAGTGCTTAAGTAGGACACATTCTGTTGTTGGTTGTGCTAATGTGACTTATCAGCAGTTGTGGGTTGTAAGGCTTTTTCTTGCTGGCCTTGACTACTCAAGTTGAGGGCAAGTTTTAGAACTGTGTGTTGCAGTGCATGCTGATACTTTTCTGTCCTACGGGATGGGTTAGTAATAAAATACTTTTTTCCCTTTCTTTACAGATATTTTCCAATTTATCCCTGAATGAGCGTTGCCTTTCAGCGTCATTAGTCTGTAAATATTGGCGTGACCTCTGTTTAGATTTTCAGTTTTGGAAGCAATTGGATCTCAGTAGTCGTCAACAGGTATGAAGGTATCATTGTAGAAAAATTATGCTTTGATGACTCAGGATTTGTTCTCTGAACTTGCACTCTTGACCAAAGGTAAACAAAAGAAACCCATAAAAAAGGTGGTATTTGTGCTTTCAGCGATTTTTCTACTAGAGACTGAAAAAGACCAAAGGTAAACAAAAGAAACCCATAAAAAGGTGGTATTTGTGTTTTCAGCGATTTTTCTACTAGAGACTGAAAATGTCTGGACCCTTAGATTAATGCCTTTAAATGTAGCTTCTTTTGACTGCAGTCAGTTGTTAAACAGTGTGAGGACAAGTGCTGTTTGAAAAGGTTGTGGGTTACCTGTCTCAGGTCTGCATCAGGCAGTGGTAGTTCTATTCATAAGAAGTATCGGATCTCATATGAATTGAAAGATCTAAGTGAGCTTTTCTGAAGGTGCTCTGATTTGAAGAATGGTTACCCAACTGGTGCTTGCTCTGTTTGTTTTAACAAATTTTCTGTAATTTTTCTTCAGCTGATGTGGCTTCTACTGATTGTGTGGTTTTAGGCCTTTAGCTGATCCTAGAATTAAATATACCTGGGATTCATGGATTTCATTCAGTGAGATCCTTACAGAGCCTTGCCTTAGGTTGTTCAGGGTAACTTTGCTCCGTGGAAAACCTTTTTAAGGATGCCACCTTACTGTTGTTTGGCCACCCCACTGAGGTTTCTTATTGCCGAGTTATTTGCAGTGGTTTATGAAACAATTTCTTGAGAGTTTAATGAAAATAGATGGTGCAGAGGAACAGCCATTGGAGGGTCCCATTTGAAGCAGCAGCATGAATTAATCTGTGTTGGACATAAAGAGTGTATATGGAACACTATTTTAGGATCATGGATTCATAAGAAAGTGTGCAAGTTCTCTTGCTTCTAAAGTTATTAGTTAATGTATTTCTGAACTTCTATGGAAAAGTTATATAGCAGATTGATTTTTCTCAAGTGACTCTGAAGCACACTCAGACCAGAGGTCCATCTTTTTGCTCTGTAGGGACTATGTGTCAGATAAGTCTTTCTTCTTGACTGTATTGAGGTCTAGCCTTACTTATTCTACAAAGGTTTTTAATGGTTTTGCTTATTAGGTCCGTTGGGATCTCACTAAAGTTTATCAGTTGTGGCATTGCTCTAAGAAACCTATTTTGCCAGTTTTTTATTGAGTTCTTAAACCATTATTAAGCACAAATGTGGTAATATTCTCCTTGTGTGGGGAGGGTTTGATGGTTTTGTTTTTCTTCGTTAATGTTGGGGTGGTTGTTTGTTTTTTTTTTTGTGAGTGTGTGTTTGTTTAGGTGTTGTTTATGTTTTTTTTTCTAAATGTCATGTTCTCTAGCTAACAGCTGCCTGGTAAAATAGCAAGAAAAAAGATTAGACTTGCTACTAATGGAAGATAGATTGAATGCAGGAAAGAAAGCGTTTGTTTCTGAACTGTGTAAAACATAAAAAACCCCCACCAAACTAAACCAGAAGGGATTCTTGCTGCTGTCTTGCCCTCTCCAGGCTTAGAGCTGAATCTCATCTGTGCTAAGTGGTGGATAAGTATTCCTGAATGGTTTTTTTAGAAAGATTTTTGTCATATTACCTCAGGTTTTTTGAAGCTAAGCTTTTAAAGTTAAAGTTCTATGCATTGTGTCTTACCTGCTTTTGTTTTGTTTGTTTTGTTTTCACTTACAAGCTTGAGCATGAAGAATCTCTTACGTTTCTTGTCTGCTTTGTAGGACTGGCTTCTTTTAAAATTATTGACATGTTAGCCAACTACAATGTGTACAGGTACAAAATGGATAGAATCTTTTTTTCTTCAAAGGAGCTCTGGGAGAATAGTGCATGCATCTGATTTAATGGTCTTTCATAGACTAAATATTTAAAATATGCAAGTATTCTGTTTTAAAACTGAGCAAATATCAGGAGGAAACTTTTGGAGTTTAATTAGCTTTTATACTGTTATGTTAGTCTTTCCCTCTCACTCTCTATCACCTTAAGTGACTGTTTTCCATTCTTAAGAAGCCCACTGTTACCTGCACCACTGTAGTGTTTGTGTGCTGGCACCTGTTTTTGGATGATTACCAAAGCCTAAGTAAAAACTTGCTGCCTTTCAGAGACGTATAAACTCTTTACTTCTCTGTAAATGCAACCTTAGTTGTGTGAGTAGAGTGCTGCTATAGAAAGGCTAGCAAATCCTTTTCTTCTAAAGGATGGAGAATTCTTTGTCTAAAGTGTGAAGGGGACCATTAATTGTTATTCTCTCCAAGTGTTGGAGCAAAATTCTTTAAAGGTAACTGTAAAACTGATTATACCAGTAGGCTTTTATCTTAGAAAACTGATCTTTTAATTCTCCCAATAGCTTATGGAAATGCGTCTTACAAATAGAAGTTTTTGTGCTAATGAAATTAAAGATGTTTATGAAAAAAGTTAAATTTGAATATATTTGGATTTTCTTTGCAGGTCACTGATGAGCTGTTGGAAAAGATAGCATCAAGAAGCCAGAATATTACCGAAATAAATATTTCTGATTGTCGCAATGTATCTGATACAGGAGTATGCATATTAGCAATTAAATGTCCTGGACTCCTAAGGTATACTGCCTACAGGTGTAAACAGCTTTCTGACACCTCCATTATGGCAGTTGCCTCTCAGTGTCCTCTTCTTCAGAAAGTGCACGTAGGCAATCAAGACAGACTCACTGATGAAAGCCTAAAGCAGGTAACCATCCATTACACAAATTCCTTCTGTAAATTTACTATTTTTCAGTTTCTTACCAAGTGCAAAAAGGGGCGAGCGATATAACAATAATTGTAATGAAAAGGAAGATAACAAAAAGAGGGAGGAATAAACTCCAAGAAAAGGAAGTGGTGCACAATACAGTTGTTCACCTCTTGCTGATTGATGCTTGAGCAACAATCCTCCTCTCCTGGCCAGCTCCCCCCAGTTTATGTACTGGGCATGAAGTCCTATGGTATGCAGTATCCCTTTGGCTAATTTGGATCTGCTGTCCTGGCCATGCTCCCTCCCAGCTTGTTGTGCACCTCCTTGATGACAGAGCATGGGAAACTGAAAAATCCTTCACTTAAGCGCTACCTAGCAACAACTAAAATGTCACTGTGCTATCAACATTACGCTCATACTAAATCCAAAATACGGCACTGTACCAGCTACTAGGAAGGAAATTAACTCTGTCCCAGCCAAAACTAGGACATGGAAGAAGGTACCCTCTTCCAATATTTAATTAAAATCAGGTGACCTCTTCTACTTCAAAAATTGATTTATGGACACATTTTCTTGGTGCAGTAAATGCTGTTTTCTAGAGACTGCACATGCTTCTTTTTTTTTCTTTAATATCCAGGGATAAATGATCACTTATGTAATGAAATTTCCAGTTTGACATCCTGTGCTTCGCCTCTGGCTGACTGAGGTTTCTTGGACAGTGCTGCTAGTTGGAAGCAGTATTTAAGTAACTCTTTTTTGTATTGTGAATGGTAAAGGTGACAGAGACCTTTATTTGTTAGGCATGCAGGAAGGTTTCATCAACCCTTTCCCTTCTGTTAAAGGAGCATTTAGGGTAAGCTGTGAAGTAGTTATGTTAAATCAAATATGTTTTCAGTGGTCTAGCATACAGGCGTTGTTAGCTATTTTTATATATGCCAAATAAATAACTTAGTTCATATGTGCTCCATTTTGCTGACTGTAGTTAGCAACTTCATTTTGTCGTGTATGTAATTATAATTTTTCTTGTTTGTGTATAGTAATTACAAAACCTGTAAAAAAAGATCGTTTTTAAGGAGGAGGTAGAAAAGCAGAAAGAAATATTAATTCCCAACTCTCCAGTTCAGTCAAATCCTGTTGGTTTTTTTCCTTTATTCTTAAATACTTGCTTTGATTTCATTAATTGCAGCTGGGTTCAAAATGCAGAGAACTGAAAGACATTCACTTTGGGCAATGTTACAAGATCTCAGATGAAGGAATGATCATTATAGCTAAAGGCTGTCTGAAGTTGCAAAGAATATACATGCAAGAAAACAAATTAGTAAGTACATGTCATGATGGTTTTCCACAGCTTTTTCATTGTCAGAGCTTTCTCTTGCTTTTTATCTGTTTAAAACTTTCTTCTGAATAGCTGCTTTTTGGCAGTGAATTGCTTAAAAATGTTTTCTAGCTGTAAAAGTTTAGGTTCTACACAGATAGCCGAGAAGATGACAGTACAAGTTAAGCTAATGCTGTTCCAGATACGTATTAACTTTTGATTTTGACATGGCATTCCAGGACTAATTGTTTGGGAGATGCCATATTTGTGAAGGAAAATACCTAGTCCATACGGAATGTTTCTTTTGTTTATACCAGTGTGTTTTTCTACAGTAAAAATGCAAACTTACCTAAAATAAAAGATTTTTGGAGGTTGAGTTCTTGATGACAGATAATACACTCTGATAATCTTTTCATGAAATATGTAACTTTCGCATCAGGATGCAGTAGTGTGCCTGTGCTAGTAGAAGGAAATTGTTGAGAAGTAATAAAAGTATCTTGTGTCCTAATGATAAGCAGTCTTTGAAATAATGGTATCTAATGTTGAAAGCCGGTATCTGCTAAATGGTATAGTAGAGCGCTGGGTTTAATTTTTTTTATTTTTTTGTTTTTCCTTGCAAGTAGAAAAATTTGCTTGCAGTTGAATTCTTAACTATCAGCTAATGTTAGGGTTGTAACCTTTGGTTTGAAAACTGCTTAACTGGAACAAATAAATTGCATTTGTAGGAAAACAGGATACCTTGTACTCAAAGTTATTTGATATTTGGCTTCAAATAGACAAACAAATATTAATGCCTATGGTGGTTCATTTGAAAATGGCTTTTTTTTTTTTTTTTAAAAAAAAAAAGCCATTTATTGGTTTTGATCAGAATTGTAGGAAGTTGAGAAATTGAACATAATGACCAAAACTGAGATCTCAAAATAGTTGAAATGCAGAAAAAAGGGTATGTCCCCTCCTCCTATATCAAAACAATATCTTGAGTGCTGTGAAAATAAGTCCTTGTAATATTTATCTTAATACCTGAAAACATTTTAATTAAAAAAAGTAAGAGAAGTGAAAGTTGCAAGAAGCCTGGAAGGAAAGCTTACTCCTGCAGAAATTAACTGGAGAAAGGTAGGGAAATTCAAAGTATTATTTATCTTTGAATGAAAGAGGAAAAACTGTACATGAAAGATTACTTAATTGTACATAAAGGTCATTGTATGCTTAAGTACTTAAGTGCATGATCACTGGAAAATATGTGGGTAAGGTGTTAATTTGACCTTCTTTATTACATCTTGACTTCTTGCCATTGAAGATTTTATTCTCTTTCTAGTCTGGAATTTAACATAAGAAGTTGAAATTACAGTTGTTAGCACTTAAAAGTGCTGTGGTTTTATTATCTAAAGTGTCCTTCTAAGTTCTCAGTTGCAATGGGACATAGGAATTATCTTCTTGTTTTTAAGACAATCAAGAAAGGTCTTCTTCGCTTGCACTTTGTTTGGTTGCCTTCATTATTGGAAATGAAACAATTTTTCGTTGGAAATAAAAATATGTAGTCTCAAATTAATATGAAACCTATTCTGATTATTTTGTCACTGCTGAGAATTTGTCAAGTGACTTATCAAAACTAAGCCTTTGTACATTTTTTTATCAATGGAGTTTTTTTTTTTTAAAATGTCTAGTTTTATTTAAAGCTGCTGCTCAATCTTAATTTTTCTGAAAAAAATAAACCTGTGGCAAACTTTGTGAAGCTTTGTGAAGTCCAAATTCAGCTCCTTAAATCTTGGTCTAGAAATGTAACCATGAAATAAGTTATAAAGCTGTTCTAAGCTCCTGGTTATTGAATCTTTAGAATAAAATAACACCTGAGCGATTCCACTAGGTAATAAAGCTGCAGAAACTGATGTGCTTTCCCCCTGCGAGGGGCAAAGGACTTTGAAATCTGACTGGAGGTATAACTTTGTGTGATGAACCAAGACAACTTATAAGAAGTTCTCATGCAATTGTAAAGTAAAAATTTTCATCTTCTGAAATTGGAAAAAAAAAATTGTTTAATGCCGTGGAGTTAACTTAAAGGGAGTAATGGTTGCTGGCAAATGGTAATCCACTGTTCGATTAGTTAAATTCTGTGGGTTACTTTAGTTTTTAAAACTGCATTTTAAAATAAAACCACTGTTAATATTTGCGCTGTCACATCTTACTTCTTTCTCTTTGGAGAAGAAGGTGGTTTGGGGAAGTGTGTGTGTGTGTTTGTTTTCAAAATAAGTAAGTATTTGTTATCTGAAATAAAAATACTCTATGGCAAGAAAAGTGTACTTCTGTACGAGGGCTTGGTTTGTGTATTTGAAGTTCATAGATTGTCAGTCTGCTATAGAAAGAAGGCTGCTTTCCTCTCCTGCCCCGTTTTTAAACAGCTTCTGTAGCTTCTGTGTAAATACTGTAAATTGAGTCTGTGTGGTTTGTGTTTTCTTATTTCTTCCTTTTTCGGAGGTGCTCAAAATCATGTGACTCTTACAGGCAATTTCTATTAATTTCAAAATGTGTAGAATATTACAGATGGTACATGATGGTTGGGTTTTCATGTAAGCTTGTCTCAGACTAATGGATTTTATTCTTCAAAAATACATCTGTAGAGGCATCCAGCAGCTAAATAACACCTTTGTGAGCATTACTTTACAGTGCAACGTGAATCAGACATCACAGTTCAGTTGCTTCATCTGTTGCTAAGTAACTGCATTATCAGACTGCTGAGCAGAAACAGAGAAAGAAAAATTTATGATCTGATTGTTTAATATACTACGCATTTCACAGAAAAATAGACCCTTTCCTTTCTTTGAAATGCTGATTATGTCATGGTAATAAGTGAAAGCTGCAAATAATGAACGGATGTAAAGGTTGTGTGAGGAAAAAGTTAATATCGCAAGGCTAACCTAACAACCCAAGGTGGTTGTTGTTGTTTGTGTAACTGTTTGTGATTTGTATCTCTTCAAAATATGTTTATTTTCCTCTGTCCTTTGAATGGAAGAGTAATTACATGCAAAACATCTTTTCTGAAGCATACTGACCAAATTAGGAACTTAGTGGAAAAAAAACAACAAAAATTACTGGATTTACAAAGGGTACCAGTATGCTGAGTTGTCTTTCCTTATCTGGCCCCAAGCAGTCCGATACTATCAAACAGTCTCACAAAAATTCTGTTAAATGGAAGAACAGGTTATAACTCTGTCCAGACAAAACTAGAAAATTTCCTACCTTCCTGGTTGAATTCAGTTGGACTCTTACTTTATGGTCATGGCTGGTGTTGAATGCTATGAGTATAACTTTTAATGTTTGCTTCATATGAGTAATTAATGTGAATGAATCTGGTGGAAGATGAATTGGTTAATTTCATTATTAACTTTCTACCAACCTGTTTTTTGTACTTCCACCCCAGATAGACAGCACGTAGCTTCAGCTGCAAAATCAAACTGCTCCACGCTGACGTGCAGTACTCTTACTGAGACATGGAGTGGGGTTGTACTTAATCTGAATTGTCAAGGTGTGGGGGGTTGACCCTGGCTAGATGCCAGGTGCCGACTGAAGCTGTTCTATCACTACCCTTCTCAGCTGGAGAGGGGAGAGAAAATATAATGACAGGCTTGTGGGACGAGATAAGGACAGGGAGATCACTCACCAATTGCAGTCATGGGAAAACCAGACTTGACTTGGGAAAAAATGTGATTTATTACCAATCAAATCGAAGAAGAGTAATGAAAAATAAACCCAAATTTTAAAACACCTTCCCCCCACCCCTACCGTTTTCACAGAATTAACTTTATTCCCGATTTCTTTACCTCCTCTCCCTGAGCGGCGCAGTGGGACAGGGAATGGGGGTTGGGGTCAGTTCATCACACTGTTATTTCTGCTGCTCCTTCCTCCTCAGGGGGAGGCCTTCTCACACTCTTCCCCTGCTCCAACGTTGTGTCCTCACGGGAGAGAGTCCTCCATGACTTCTCCAGTGTGAGTCCTTCCCATGGGCTACAGTTTTTCACAAACTTCTCCAGTGTGGGTCTCCTTCATGGGGAGGAGTGCTTCAGGAACAGGCTGCTCCACTGTGGGTGCCCTGCAGGGTCACAAGTCCTGCCAGCAAACCTGCCCCAGCGTGGACTCCTCTCTCTCCACGGGGCCAAGGTCCTGCCAGGAGCCTGCTGCCTGCTCCAGTGTGAACTTCCCATAGGGTCACAGTCTCTTTTGGGCATCCATCTGCTCTGGCATGGGATTGTCCACGAGGTGTAGGCAGGTATCTGCTCCACCATGGACCCCTATGGGCTGCAGGGGCACAGCCTGCAAGACCATGGTCTTCACCTCATGTTGCAGGGGAATTGCTGCTCTGGTGCCTGGAGCACCTCCTCCCACTCCTCCTTTACTGCCCTTGGGGTCTGTAAAGTTGTTTCTCTCACATATTCTCACTCATCTCTCTGGCTGCAATTGCTGCTGCATAGTAACTTTTTTCTCTTTCTTAAACATGTTATCACAGAGGCACTACCACTCGGCCAGCTGTCTGGCATTGGCTGTATCAGACATAGGGGAAACTTCTAGCAGCTTCTCACAGAAGCCACCCATGTAACCCTGCTGTTACCAAAACTTTGCCACGCAAACGCATTATACAAGGAAAATTAACTCTTTTAGTTGCATACTTCACTAGAAGAATGGAGCCCTAAAAGGTTTTAAAAGTTCTGTGACTTCTTCATGGAGAGATGCAGAACCAGTTTGTGACTAGGGTGCATCCAAAGGGAAGGATTGCCCCCAGTACAATTTTGTATAAGCAGTGTGGAAACTCTCCATTTCCTCATTATGAATAGAATAGACCTAGATTTGGGAGCTCATTTTAGAGCTGGGAAAAACCTTCTCCTCTTAGCTGTGTTGATTTTACACACTAGTTTGCTTTTCATTACCTTTTCTTAACTGTGTGGCTTAATGGCTAAAATTGTAATACAATGATTGCTGAAACTCAGCAGGAGGGAGTTACAGATTTGTAGCTC